ACAACTATTTTGAGTAATACTAGTTAAGTTAGAAATTCTTGATAAAAGTGGGAGTTTTCTTTCAATCACGGTAAAATTCAGATTCTTTGATAGAATATTTGATGAGGTGTAAATAAAAGGGATGACAACTGTTGGTCTCGAAAGCTTTTCTGGAATGCCTATTTAAATATGACTCATTGTTTCAGTTCAGTTTTATAAATAAGAGACACCCATTTAAATTAGAACTGAAAGTGAACTGGAAACCAGCACTGGTAAAGGTATCGTAAGAACATAGTCCATCATTGACACGATTTCTAAGGTCTGCTGATATATATTTTGCAGTTCTTAGTCTGTATTTAGCCAAATGCAATATACCATTATGCCTATTCATAGGTCAGCCTCTGATTATAAGATGAACTACGGAAGAAAATATTGTAATCTCAAGAAGGAGAGACAGAATGTTCCATATGATTTGGTCTTGGATTAACGGAACATATTCCTGTGCAATACTCTGTGACTTATCGAAGATGCTTACAAGAAAACCTTATCTTCCGATACTCACTTTTCATGGGGAACAACATTCTCTGCAACAGAAGAAGAGGAAGCCTTTGAAAGGTTCTAGTAGGCAGCTGTTGTCTAGACATATCTAACATCAGGATATTTTAAGATACACAAAAAAGTATCCTACTTGTCAGAAGGGATCTAGCATAGAAAGATAATGGTATCTTAAATGAAAGGAATTTGTCTTCTCCAGAATTCTGTTAAAAAAGAGGCTCAAACAAAAGGTTGATATACTCCTTGCACAGCTACTGTGGTGAATTAAGATCCTCATCATTATTATGAAAAGTTTTGTTTCATCTAGATCCAGAATCACTATGGATAATGATATGATACATTTAATAAATAAATAAAAATATACTTTTAAAAAGCCTTCTCTAACCTGGTGGCCTTCCAGATGTACATGACTTCAACTCCTAGAAATCTCAGTGATGGTTATGATGGGTGGGACATTCTGGGAGTCATAATTCATAAAACTGGAAGGAAGTCAGTCTGAGTTTGTCCTTTTTAAGTATCTTTTCATAACTTGGTTATTGTTTTCAGACAATTCTCTTTAAGTGGTGCTATCAAATGCAAACTATTGGATCAAAGTTTAGGGCCCTGAGAAAGAAAGAAAGAAAGAAGGAAGGAAGGAAGGAAGGAAGGAAGGAAGGAAGGAAGGAAGGAAGGAAGGAAGGAAGGAGTGATTAAGTAGGAAATAGAGAATTCAGGACTGTGGATTTACCTTTTCAATCATAGTAGATTTTTTGTTTCCAGTGTCCTGTTTGCTGAAGATCATTTGGAGCCATAATCCATCAGATCCAGAGGGTACAAGAGTGGGGAAATTGCTTAAAACCAGCCTTCCATCATAGTCTTTAATTATATGGGATATGGAAATTTGCATATTCTCCTTATTTTATTTATTTTTATCCCACCTTTATTATTTTTACTAATAAATAAGTCAAGGCAACAAACATATGCAAAGCACTTTCCTCTTTCTATTTTCTGCACAAAAACAGCCCAGTGAGGTGGGTTGGGCTGAGAGATGGTCCAAGGTCCAAGGTCACCCAGCATAGTCCAAGGTCACCCTTTCATGGCTAAGGCAGGACTAGAACTCACCATTTCTTGGTTTCTATCCTGGTGTCTTAACCATTAGACCAAACTGGTTCTACATCATTTGTTCCTTCCTTATATAATGGTATAGAGGGAAATATTCCTTGAATATAATATTCATTATTTTGTAATGTATGCATATTTCTCTGTTGTAAGAGCACAAATACTAGTACATTACCATCTATTATCATGTTAGGCCATTTAAATATAAGGCTATTTAAAATCATACTGGAATAGTATGCAGTGTCTCTTGACTATAGGGGATTTCAGTTCAAATGCCATGCGAGCTAGAAATTATGGCAAATACAATGCAATACTACTGAAAGGTGAAAAATTGGAACAAATTGTATTGATGTTCCAAGCAACGGCCATTCTATTTAATAGCAGCTGATATCAAACAGTTCCAAAGTTTGCTTTTTCCAAGGCAGCATGAATGTTTATGTATTTCCTCAAAGAAACACATTCACAGCATACCACACCATATTTGTAAATGTTTATCTTTTATGGAAGGAGCAAAAAGCTACAGAGAGAGCTTTGTTATTGTCCCAATGAATGCCTGGTATTTTAAACAATTAAGATGAATGGCCCACAATAATGCCAAGGATTACTAATTTGGAATTGTTCTCAAGAGACCTATGATTTGCAGTTTCTTTGAAGGACAGGTTCATAGGAGCTTAAAGTATGCTTAGCCAAGGTCTGACTGAAAAAGTGTGAAGGTGGTAAAATGGTATGAAAATGAATTGTAATTTTTAACCAAGTTGAAATGGACGCAACTGCCACAATGGTCACCATAGGAAAGTTGTACAGTGGAAACAAAAATCTTAACAGAATTCAATGTTCTGGAAAGTATACCTGATATCAAAAATGAACTGATACAATGAACACTGCAATAACCTTATCCTTGAATTGGCTTATGACTTTTTAGTTTTTTTATGTTCTTCAATATCAAGCTTATATTTAACCAAATATTAAATAGTGTTAGTTTTTCCTGTTATGGATGACATTTACAGATTGCAAGGAATAGAAGAAAATGCTCGTATAAGGCTCTTGTTGAAATATGTATTATACTAACATTCCATTGTAGAAAGCAACACTTCATTTATGAATTAAGACTTAATCTATCCCAAGTAGTACCTTTCCTTATTATTTCATTTAACTTTCTGTGTATATCTTTATGTGTGTATGTACGTGTGCATGTATGTACGTGTACCTGTGTTTGGGTGTATATGTATGTGTGTATATACACACAGGCGCACATGCACATGTGCACACACACACACACAGTTGGGACTGGAATGGCAGTCACTAAGCAATATAGTCATAAAGCATTTTGTCACATGACCACACTACTTAGCAAAAGTAGTTTATTAAAGCAACCATGTCTGATAAAAAGTCCATGTGGTTACTTCCTGGAAACAAACATAGTTTTAGTATGTCACAGATAGGTGCTATACACTTCTGCACATTCAAAAGCACCTCTTTCTGAAGCATTGCATAACCTTCCTGATGAATCTCTTCTGTGAAATCCAATTAGGTTTGACAACAATGGACAGGATGAATTAATGGTTTCACTCTGCAGAATGCAATTATCATGTTTTATTTTTTATTAAGTAAGTTATAGTGTAATCCATTATGCATATTCATGAACCCTAACTCCACTGTACATAGTTTCAGATATGCCATCTTATTAAGTGCAATGTGCAATGCCATAAATTGTGCCCATATTTAGATCTTACCTCTAACCATACCTCTACGTATTTCCATTCCTCATTGTTGTTCTTGCTTGCCTATACATTTATCACCAATGTTCATTTTCCAAATTTTCCAGGCTGCCTGTATTCATGGAACTGTATGCACAAAAGTTCCCTCTCTATTAATATTAATGCCTAAAGTATGACTTAGTGAGTAAACCAGCATCACATATAGGATACTAAGCGGGTATAGCAATTTAGAGTTCTTTAATCATTGAAACTATTATTTTTATTATGCCTGGGTTACTGCACTGCTAGGTGCTCTTCAAACTCTTCAGACTCCAAATCTTTGCAATTATGCATGCCCATATTTGATAATATATCTAGTGCTTATGTGCTTTTGTAACCATCCAGCTAATACTGCAGCTCATATCAAAACATTATACTATTTTATTATTAAACTGTACAAGTATGTAGATTTTAATGTAGGTCTTGGAACCCATAAAACATTTTAGGTCTTATTTAAGATGGAAACACTTTGATGAAGACTTGTATCTTTTAAATTCTACTAAAATTCCAATCTATGTCTAACCCTGTCTGTGTAGCAGCTGGGTTTCCAATGAGCCAAGAGTTTGGGTTTTAAAGTTATTTTTAATGCAACTCAGTATGACTCATGCTTAGCAAATCTTGCAGGAATGTTGAATATTGGTAGGGCAGGATATGTCACATTTGGAAAAAAATCTCTGTTGATTTCATGAACTGCATTTAGAGATGGAAAAAAAAGCTGGTTGCAGATATTCCTACTGTACTATTGAAGTGATATTCAAATATTCAATTTTTCCTTTAAATTAACTGTTAAGGTTCTGACTAATGATCCTAACGAAGTAAGCACAGCTGAGACATTCCAATCTCTAATGCAAAACTTTATTGAGTATATCATATCAGCACTGATGAATAGAAAACCAACTCTGGCAATATGGTGCCAGAATAATAAATAAAAACAGTAAAATCTTCCCTCCCCCCTGACAGTCCAGGTCACATTGTCCAATTAGTCTTCGGAAGGTTGTTATGAGAAGTCTCTGCTTGCAATAACATTTCTTGAATGACCTTGATTCCCATGTGGTTAGAATCCACCTGTGCATTCCATCACCCCCCCTCCCCTCCTGGATCTGTTGGCAAGCAAAGAAGAACATGGCTGTTGTAGCGTGAGCATTCTTTGTAGCTTGGCATTAACATTTATATTTCTCTTTAACTTGCAATGGTGAAATTTATATGCCATGTGAATGACCAATTGGCTTCATAGTCGATCGTCTCAGCCTTCTTATATGTAGCTGAATTTAAATATATATTGAAGTAATATTATGCTAATGAGCTAATTGACTCAGCTGTCCATTTACATGACAAATCTCTCATTAGTATTTTGAATGCAGGACAAAGCATAGTCCAGTGCTGAAAAAGTTTCTGGTTTGTTAAAAAACAATTCTGTACAATTATCTAAATTTGAAACTAATAATTGTTACAAAGTATTTTGATGGATTAAAAATGTATAAGGCATCTATTTCCTTACTATAAAGAAAAACACCAATTCAGATGTTTTGACAGGTCTGTATTCCCTAAATAAGCCAAAGAAGCTGGTTGATAAATAATGATTTCATTTTTTTTATTTCAAATCTCTTTTAGATTCGAAATAAGAGCAAAGCATCCAAGGCTGGGTTATGTGAAGGAGATGAAGTGATATGTATCAATGGCAACCCTTGTGCTGAGCTAACTTATTCTGAAGTTCTTGTTCTGATGGAAGGCCTGACTGACACTCTTCAAATGCTTATCAAAAGGTAAAAGAAATTCAGATTTATTTCTTATCTTGATAGAACACAGCCTCAACCATTAGCTCATGAATCACTTTCTTAAATTATTTTATTTTGTTTTGTTTTGTTTTGTTTTGAAAGTTATATGCCACCCATCTTGCTTAGAGGTGACTTTTAGATTGTGAATTTAACAGATCTTAATGCCCAGGAAAGTTCAGGTGTTTGTAAGCAGATTCCTAAGTGGCTGGTCACAATCCTTTTAAACTGAGTCCAGAAACACTCTGGGAAAAGAATTTCAACACAAAATTGCTGGTATGAGTTCTGTTTCCTTGACTTGCACCATCACCCAAGACACTAATAATTTTTCAGTTTATTTTTTTCAGAGAAAAAGTGATGTAGGGCCTCATGGAAGTTTATACAATATACAGTAGGGTTTTGTTTTGTTTTGGTTTTTTTTTTTTTTTGCTAATGCCAGTATAAATTCAATTACCACAATGATTTGTCATTTACATGTTTGTTAAAGCAAACTTGCTTACATGAATAATGAAATAGTAATTAATTAAAAGAATTGAGCTTGTAGCCTTAAATCTGGCAAATGGCTTTTGAGTAAACATGGGCAGGACTGATTGTTCTACCAGTTGTAACATACAATTATTTGAGATTGAGAAGAAGTAAAATGTCAAACTAGTTTATGTAATTTGCAAGGTTATATGTGCTAGACCAGGCAGTTTTCAGACTCTAAATAGCAAATTCCCCCTCCCTCCCGTACATGGGATCAAAAGAATTAGGTTATCTTTTGTTATTCATGTTTCTGGTTTGAGGTGGGCAATAAGTAAGTAAGCAAGTACGTAGTAAGTAAGTAAATAAATAAATAAATAAATGTCAGGTTATGTGTCATTGCAAGTTGAGCAATGATTAATCAGATTAGTGTTTTTCCATATGTTATTACTGTATGCAACTTTATTCTAAGTAATGATATTTCAGTATATAGAATTTAAATTCCTTAAAATCAGGCTTGTAGAGATATATGGTATTTCTGTAATGCAACATCTATTAATGGAAATGTAGCAGCTAATCATAAGGTAATGTATTGTATATGAAAACTTCCTGGTTTTCTCTTCTAAATTACAGTTCTTGGATTCCTTCTTTCCTTCCTTCCTTCCTTCCTTCCTTCCTTCCTTCCTTCCTTCCTTCCTTCCTTCCTTCCTTCCTCCCTCCTTCCCTCCCTCCTTCCCTCTCTCCCACTGAAGCATTGACTAAGTCAGTTCAATAACTGTATCTCAGTTGCATCCATGTTAAGTACTGTACAGATACTGTAACATATATAACAGGGAAAGAGAAATAAGAAGAATCACCCATGTCTTCTTGGCCAATTTAATTCCTATTGAATTGCATAATCCAAGTAATATTAGCAAAATATTAGTACCTATACTGTCAGGACAGAGAGAAGATGCTTAGGATATCTACACTAAAGTCCCTTCCACAGAACCACTGGCTTTACGTAGCCTTTTCCCAATTCTAAGCAGAGTTTTGTGCTCTTGCACATTTCTCCTTGTCTTAAAGTATCCAAATAAATTAAAAATGGCCTTCTGTGTGGGCTTCTCTGTGGGGAAATCACAACAGTGATATTCAGGGAGCCAGAAGGTAATGAGAGTAGGGGGAAACTGCCCCAGAGCCCCAAAGGAGATATTGCAAAACTGTTTTTCAGCATTTTCTCTGCAGTAGGAGCTGAACTGGTGGATTTCTGAATTCAGCTGGCTCAATAAATGCTCCAGGGCCTCCTAGAGACACTCACTCTGCAACCTTCATATGCAGAAAGCTTCAGAGAGAAAGAAGAATGTGTATAAAAGAACTGGAAATGATCTCCTGGGTCATCTTTACACATAATGAATTGGAGTTTGTGGAGAATTGAGCAAGTTGAGTTTTCTGATCAAATTCCTTACAGGAAAAGTAATTATTTGAGAAAAGTACCTGATTCTTACCAATAAATGCCAGATTTTATGTGTGTATGTGTGATAGTGAGACTGTAGAGAAGTCTCATACATAAACATAAAGTTTTCAAAATCCAGTCTCTCTCTCTCTCTCTCTCTCTCTCCCCACCCCCTCGCGGTCTCTCATTAGTCTCATTATACAATACATTTCCCTGCACGCATACAATCCAAGAACCCAAGCTATCAATAAAGATTAACAATTATCTGGCTTATCACCAGTCTTCCTTCTTACAAGGAAATGTTTATGAATTTATTTTATATATGTATGGAGCACAAGCATTGATTATCCAAGTAACACAATATGATGAAAACCAGCTGCAATCACAGGACTTCATTTATATCAATATATCTTCTTTTCCAGATCTTATTTATGTTAGCCATTGCAGTGCAGTCTCCCAGGTTTAGCCTGATGCTTTATCCACTACACTAAACTAGCTGTTTTCTATATATACCGGTAATACTGTTATGTAAAATGGTTTTCAAGGTCATGAATATCAAATTTTGCACACTTCGTTGTATATTTATATATTTGCAGATTCTCCAATGGGACAAATGAAACTTTAAGTCCAGAACTAGAAAATGAAAACCTCACTGAAATTAAAGATAAGGAATATAAAGAAAGCACTACCCTACAGATCAGAACAGCAATGCCAAGTCCCCACCAGGAATTGCAGATCATAGTGCCAACTGAGGAAACACTCCCAACAAACATAGAGCAAACTATTGTGGATTTTTCTGGGGCAAAGCAAGAAATAATCCCCTGCTACAAAATCCCTCTCAAAGTGATCGAAGCCCCTAAAGTACACTGCACGGAGGCGTCTGCCGTCTCTGGGGGCAAGCCTGGCTCTACAGTTGAGTTACAGTTGTCCTTTTCGCCTGACAGGAATAAAAGCAGCAGCACTGGGTCTGGTCTGACTGTTGTGGAGGTCCAAGAGAGCAAGCCTCTGGAAACAGGATCGGTCCTAACACAAGAAGCGACTAGCTGGGTAAAAGAGCCTTCTGCCCAGTGGACAGGCAAGATAGTCCAGATTGTTGGTGGCAAAGAGTTCCAAGCAACTCATGAAGATGAGAGAAAGGAACTCTCTCTCACTAAGGTGGAAGTGATTCTGGACTGTTCTGACCAGGCAAAAGAAGCATCCAGGTCTCTGGCTGAAAAGGGGTGTGTAGAGTCTCAAGTGGAAGGAGGGCAGTCAGAAGCACCTCCTTCTGTGGTCTCCTTTGGAATCTCATCAGAAGGCACAGAGCAGGGGGAAGACGAACAGCCCTCTGAAAAGGAACCCAGCAGACCTCACAAGCACCGGGCAAGGCACGCCAGTAAGTACAGTGTAGCTAAACTAGGGTGGCAGAGCATGAGATTTATACTTTGTGAAAGGCATTCTGGCAGAGAACAGTTGCAACCATCTGCTTAGTAGCAATAAATATTTCAAAGATGAATTACCTAAATATGTCTTCCTTTTCTTCTTTGTATCTCTTCTTTAAACAACTGTCATTTCTTTATTAATGTTTTAAAACTGTTTTTGCAAACTCTGCTAAAATAAATTATGACAAGCAGACAATATGTTTTGTAACTCTAACTGGAGAGCACATTTTGGAATGCAAACCTGTTCATGTCTGAGATATTGATTACTAACTTTTTTCTTCTGGATATGTTTCTATCAAAAATCTACTAGATAATTTAAGAAGGGCTTAAAAGTTAATTTTTTAAAAAATCCCAGAAGAAAACAAGAAAGAAAAGCTACATTTCATATAAAAGGAAAGGAAGGGAAGGGAAGGGAAGGGAAAGGAAAGGAAAGGAAAGGAAAGGAAAGGAAAGGGAAGGGAAGGGAAGGGAAGGGAAGGGAAGGGAAGGGAAGGGAAGGGAAGGGAAGGGAAGGGAAGGGAAGGGAAAGGGAAAGGAAAGGAAAAGGCCCAAGAAGTGAGGTTTGATGATGCTTGCTGAAAGTTACTTTGACAGACATCAGCATGTGTATTTTTGGCTAGTTATATGATCCTTTCAGTTTTGCAAGGGTTCCCTAGTTTGTAAGTGAACTTACTACTCCTTTTGCTTCCTATACCTGGAAATCAATGCAGAATCTAGGCAAAGACTGCAGTTGGAAGTAACCTGAGGACCAAACAGTAATAAAATTTGAAAAGACTAACTTGAAATATATTTTGTCAAAGCATCTGCTTGTTTATTCAATTCTATTGTTGGCATCTGGGCAATCATTTCTGACTATTTCAAGAATTCCATCAAGGGATTTCATTGCAAAATGGCCAAGGCATGATGACATACTGTAGCCCTGAGCTATCTTTAACAGAGCCTGCCAGGTTAGGCATATTCACCCATTGCAAATTCCTCCATATGTGTATTTTTAGGACAAGAGCCGTTTGTCGTAACCTGTGGATTAAATTGTTGCTTAGACTTAAAGTGTCCATATGCGATCCACATATTTATATTTATATCATATTAAATGATGTATAAAGGAACAGCACACATCCTTGGCATTTTGGCACACTTATGCCTGACAAATTACATCATTACTTTAAAGAGAAATGAGTAGAACAAAGCAATCATACTAATATTTTTCATCTGAGACGTGGAGATACTTTAGTTTGAATGTGTTTAGGGTTTCAATACTTAACATGAAAAGAGAAAAGAAATCCATTCCTTCTAAAAATAGATTTCCATGTCACAAATTAATTTAGGAAGCCCTTACACTACAGTTTCAAGGACACTTTGCAAGCGGTTATGAGAGTACATTTATATGGCTATTGACAAGCATATCTACAACATAGCAATGTAACAATAGAGATGCTTTATGGAGCCTAAGAGGTAAAATAGCAAACTGAGAGCCAACTATTAGGATATCTAGGATATCTGGTTTTGATTCTTATAAAGCAACAGCAACTTGTTACCTATAATGTATTATTATTACATTTTTCACTACCATGGAAGAAATCTCAAATTCCAAAATAGCCTAACTGGTTGGGGTGGAGCTAATGCCATTTTATGTTTCTAACCTTAGTCTAACTCTCAAGCAGCTTACAGTTGAATAAAACAACAGAGCATCTACATGTTTTGTGGCATAAAATCAAATAAATAACCATCCCACACTTTATCACTCTGGCAGAACTACTTACAACAAAAATGTGTGCATAGACTAATATTTCTCAAATAAAATATAAATATATATATTTATAATTCTCTAATGTCTCTCTAATGCATTACAATTATCTGCATCCTTTATTTTTTGCCACATATGTGTGAATTCTATGAGCCAATCCTATGTATGTGTTCTCAAAAGTATGTTCCTATCCATAGGACTGATTCTGGGTAGTTCACATAAAATTAGAGCTTAGTTTCTATTTCCTAATATTTGGACAAATATCTTTGCATTGCAGAATGAGTGATACTTGCGCTAAATGTGAAAATGTAATATAACAGGCAATGAAGATTTAAAAAGAGTAATTTATCTGATGATAAACATAACATTAGCAACTTCTAGCAGTTGTTTCAAGATAAACACAAGTTTCTATCATCTTCAGCTCTTAAAAATGTTATTAGCAGCTTGATTATATATAAAATTTATGTTCATTTTAGATTATAAACTCTATTGTTTAGTATTTTTGTTCCACATTAGTTTAGCTTTAAACTTTCTAAGTCAGGTATATTCCCAATCAATAATCAGATTGCACTGATAAAATATTTGCTCAGATTTGTGTTCTCATTTAAAAATAAATGTGTTAGAAAACATGCTAAATATTTGTACAAGTCTTACTTTTGAGGAGCAAAGGGAATCAAAAATAGGTTTTCATAATATTTTGGGATTGTATTTGAAACTGGACTAAGAACTCAGTAGGCTACTCTGCTTTATAATGAACTGCTTTTAAAACCAATTGCAAACATGATTTGTCACATGTTATAAAAAGCTACACAGACATAAACCCTCTTTGGATGTTCATTCCTACTTGGACTCCAATAATACATTAACTTATTTTTCACCCTTGATTTGCCCTTAATTTAAATTACTTTCATGGTTACTTTCAGACAGTTTGATACGATAGCCAATGGTTTCTTGTAGTATCTGCACTTCATCAGTAATACATTCTATAAGCCAGATCTGCTTGCCCCCTTTGAATCTGACCTTTTCATTTCAATGAACATCATATCACAACTTGGCCATAATATATATAGTCTGTAGCCTATATAGTCTATAGCCTGCCTTCAAGAGACTTTATCCAGCTATCTGTATAAATTTGTGACTGTTGTCCTGAATGCTCAACATGGACAATGCATTTCAAACCAGATAGCAATTATCAGGGCTTTTTTTCTCATAGAACACCCAGAACGGAGTTCCAGCACCTTTTTTGGATGGAACCTTGTAGGGTAGGCAAGGCGGGTTGTATGACGTGTGTGAGTTCCGGCACCTTTTTTTTTTTTTTAAGAAAAAAAGCACTGGCAATTAATCAATAAAACAAGACAAAAAATAAAATGTATTGCTTATGAAAATAAATAAAATAAGTAAATTTTATGAAAAAAATTGTCTATTAATTTACACGTCTTCCAGTTTGCCATTGTCAACCATCTGGTATTTCAGAATATATTCCTGACAGGAACATACTGTTCATTCTAAGAATACACATTGGCTAAATTATTCTCTCTAGAGGCTAAAGAAAATGCCAGACTAAATGGCGAAGGATGCAATGCGTGCTGTCATTTCCCTGCTCTAGGTCTGGAGACCTCAACATGTCACCTAGAGACCTAGTATGATGTAATCTTTGGTGTTAGCAAACTTCCTTTTCCCTCCTGACTTTTTAGATATTTCATACTGTTTAAAAATTAAAAGAAGGAGAGTATGCAAATATGCCAGTTTCAGGATCATTTGAAGAATGCTTCTATGATATATATCAGGCCCATAAGAATTTTTAAAGAAGTCCACTCCTTCATTAAAAAAAAAAGTAACACGGTGTCCAGAAAATGAGGAACAAGTAAGCAGAGATAAGGTGATAGGTAGCATTTTGATAAACTAGTCTCTTGGGGTTGATTATTCTCACATGACTGAATTTTATACATCCATACACATAAACATATTGCCTCTCCAAATCCTGCAACATTGTGAGAGTTCCCACATGTTCTCACAATTCCAAATCCTTAATAACCAAGGGTTATTTTTATATTTATTGGTTAGGAATGGCATAAAATAGTCCTACTTTATTTTGGCAACTCATATACACACTCATTCACAAACACTTTAAGTTCCACTGATCTAACAGTATATTGATGTTATTGCCTCTGAAGTCTCTGCCTGGTTGTGCATTATCTCAAATATTGAGCTAGAAGAGATTTATTATATACTGCTCCCTTTTACTCATAAGTTGGTAATAGACAATAATTAAACAGTGTAATTGCATGGAGAGTAGTGTAGGGTTCTTCTCCTTAAAAAAGAACTCCAATGAAATACTTGTGGGTGGGTGACCTTGGGCCAGTCCCTCTGTCTCAGCCCTAGGAAGTAGGCAATGGCAAACCACTTTTAAAATCTTGCCATAAAGCTGCAGGATTAAAAATCAACTCAAAGGAACAAAATAAATTAAATTTAAAAAAAATACTTAAATTTTAAGTTAAAAATAAAAAATAAAAATAAAAAAACAAATTCTAATAAAGCACAGAACAAGAAAAAACTCATTCATCCTAGATCTTACTAGGAATGATGCCTCAAGAAAAAACAAACACCTTTCAGAAAGAAATATATTCTATGCTACAACTAATTCACCAAAATTTACTTTAACGTGATTATTATATTCCAAAAAATAGTCCATTACATAATGGACAATGTACAAATATATGCATTACATATACTGTACTTCTGTCCAGATAATGTTTCAACAAAAAAATCCTGTATGAATTATTTATTATTACAGAAATTGGTCTTGTTTGAATTAGTATATCTAAATCCTAAAACCTCTCAAGCGCTGCATGTCCAAGTTAATATCCACCATAAAAAATAAGTCCCACTTATTTATCTTCTACCTTACTTTGTCCATATATCTCTTCTTTATGTGTAGATATATAATATCAACATTTTGTGAAAATTGAGATAACAAATCTGTGAGAAGAAAAGATTAATCAAAGAATTTCACTAATGAAGGAATGCTTGCTATGGAATGGTCATGGTTGCAACTGTGGGAAAAGATTAATCTTAATGCCCTGCCTGTACTTTCTTTGTAGGGGAGAGGATTCAGACGCTAAAGAAAAAAAGATTTGCATTACAGTCTTATAACCCACATAGCTATTGTTAAAATTGTTGTCATGTTATCCATTAAAATATGTTCCTTATTCTTTTCCCACAGGGCTGAGACGGAGTGAAAGCCTATCAGAGAAGCAGGTGAAGGAAGCTAAGTCTAAATGCAAAAGTATTGCTCTCTTACTGACAGCAGCTCCAAATCCCAACTCCAAAGGAGTGTTGATGTTTAAGAAGCGTCGCCAAAGGGCCAGAAAATATACTTTAGTTAGCTACGGCACTGGGGAACTAGAACGTTACGAAGACGAAGGTGAAGAAGACGAGGGTGAAGAAGGTGAGAAGGAGGACACTTTTGAAGTAACTTTATTTGGCACAAGTGAGTCAGAAATTGATGAAGATTTCTTCTCTGACTTGGATAAAGAAGAACGGATTGTGACATTTGATTGGGATACTGGACTACTTGAGATTGAAAAAAAACCCAAACGTGGGGACGAGATGTCACAGCTGCTTCCAGAGACCAAGGGCAAAGGGGCACTCATGTTTGCCAAAAGACGTCAAAGGGTAGACCAGGTCACTGCTGAACAAGAAGCAATGAAGATGCAGGGTATGCATAGAATTGAGGCACATCGAGAGGCCACTTCAACAGAGACCACCCAAAATATGAGTGCTTCCTTTTATCAGGCAAAACAAGAAGAATCTGCCAGAATGCAGAAAAGCCATATAAGCAAAAGCTACATAGAAATGAACCATAATCCTAGGATGACCATTCAGCAAAATGGCATCAGGGTTGTCCCAGAGATAAATATGATATATCCACCTCCAGAAGCTGTTAGCTCGCCTACTTCAAACAGAACAGCCAAACCTTTCCCTGGTATTCAGAACAGAGCAGCAGTTCCATTTTCACCCCCAAGAAGCATGGTTACTCTTCCCTCTGAGCTACCTGCCCCACCTCCTTATACTTCAGTCAGTCCACCATCTGAAACATTATATAGAACTGTTTTGACTCCAGTGGCCACAAACATGAGTCAGTCAACATTGTGGTCTCCAACAGAATCAACAGAGCAGATTGCATCCAGGGATGAACGGATTGCTGTGCCCGCAATAAGAACTGGAATATTACAGGAGGCCAAGAGAAGAATCACTGCAAAGCCTATGTTTACGTTTAAAGAAGCTCCCAAAATGAGTCCAAATCCTGCTCTTTTGTCCCTCGTACAGAATACAGAAGGCAAAAAACCTGGTGGCTTTGAATCAGGTCCTGAAGAAGATTACCTCAGCTTGGGAGCAGAGGCCTGCAATTTCATGCAAATCCAGGCAGCCAAACAAAAGATCCCACCCCCAGTTGCTCCCAAACCCTCAGTAAAAGTTTCTCCTACTGCCACAACACCTATTTCACCAGTCTGGTCACCTCCAGTTGTGGCTGTTACTCAAGCTCCAATCTTTCCAGTTCCAAAATCTCCAGAAGTAATAAGTCCAGCAGTCATCAAAGTAGCACAACCAGCTTATCCCCCTCCACAGCCTCCGCAACCTCCACAGCCTCCTAGTACTCTTAACCTGGAGTCTTCCTTTAAGGGGGCTCAAGTTTCATCATCCCACCAAAATTATACCCCTAAAACAACACCTCTCACTCCATTAGGAAATGCTGTTCTTGCTGGTGGAATGGGGCCAGCTTTTGAGATGCCCCCAGCATTGAGTGGTAAGGGAGCTCAGCTCTTTGCTAAAAGGCAATCACGGATGGAAAAGTATGTAGTAGACTCAGAAACTGTGCAGGCCAATCGGCCCCAGGCTTCATCCCCAACTCCATCATTACCAGCATGTTGGAAGTATTCATCAAATGTTCGAGCACCACCCCCTGTGGCTTATAATCCCATCCAGTCTCCATCTTATCCTCTTGCTGCTATCAAACCTCAGTCAAAACATCCTGGAGCTACCAAAACTACTAAGAAAAAATCTAAGAAACCATTAAGCTCCTTAGAAGTGATGAAGCATCAGCCATACCAGCTTAATGCATCTTTATTTACTTTTCAAGCTCCATCGGATACTAAGGAAAATCTCCTTCCCAAGATTGATTCAGTGTCTGCCTTGAAACAAGCTGTACCATCAAGAGTACTCAATGCTGGTTCTCCCTCTACTGTTCAAGCTTCTTCAGTATATTCTGTACCAGCCTACAGCTCACAACCATTCTTCCCATCAAATGCTTCTAGTCCTGTAATTGAGTCCTATACATCAATGGGCTGCCCTACATTTTTGAAGCAAGAACCAGCAGCATCTCCTGTATTCTCTGTTCCCAGGCCAAAATTCTCAGCCAAGAAAGTTGGTGTCACAGCACAGGTGTGGAAACCGACAGCTATTGAAGAGTAAAATATAGATACAACTCACTGTTCACTTTGTTTGCCTGAATTCTTTGTAATCATAACCTGACACCCCAAATGATCCTCAGTTTACTTAATAATTTTCAAATATATCACATAAAATCGGGTCCAAAAAAAGGCTTAAGCCTGAAAATGTATGCACATTTACCATGATATAATAAATTCAGTGATAATTACTTCAGGTAACTGTGCATACGTCAATTATTTTACGTGAATTAAAATGAATATTAATTTGCAAAAATTGTATGCATTTATGTATACAATACTTTCATTATTTATTACTATTATCCAAGCTGGCACATAGGATATTCTATAACAGTCATGTACTAGTATTAAGTAAGTAGTACATTAGGCATTAATGCTTTGATACACACATACTTAATGGATTCTGTTCCTGCATTTTATCAATTAGAACATAGTTTTCACCAGGTTTTACTCTTCGGGAAGGAAAATATGCTAATCCAACAGCCTGAGTATAGCCAACCAATTATTTCTGGAAAATGGAAATATTATCACTCATGAATACAGTTTGTATACAACACAGATTTGACCCAATTCTGCAATTGTATCCTTATAAAAATTCTGTTAAGCCTCCTCATTATAATGGGGTGAGTCCTATTGTTAACTTTTTGTTAACTTTTTGTATTGCATCTATGAGTGTGGGAATGTATAAGTTTTTTTTTATGTTCCCACAATCAAAAGTTGAATATGTAAAATTATAAACTCAAAGCAGAAATTCCTTGATTCTCAGCTAAGATTACAGATCATCCAGCAGAAGTATATGATTTTGAGAATATTCCTATGTAAATTAAGGCTTATGTAGACACTCAGATAATAAGGCTGTGTTTCATATAATTCCTATCCCCATAAGAGGATAATTTGTGTATGTTAGCACAGATAGGTTGCTTTTTTTTGTTCAGTTGTAATATTTTCACACAATGGGGCCTTCAGGGTAGTTTAAATATGGCACACTATCATGAATTACCTCTGATTCTCTCTTCTTGAAACTATAAGTATCTTTTAAGGAAGATTATAGCAAGTTTTGGAAAAAGAAAGACATTAGGGAAGGAAGCTTAGTCTGTTTCCCTTTTTAAACAACGTTGACCTCTTCGACATTAGCGTGGTTCTTTGACTGTCATTAGAAAAAATAATTAGAACTCTTGAAGAGCCAAGAAGATAAGCTGGCTTCTACAGCTTTGGAAATGGTGCAATATGTCATTGTGAAAGCAGAGTGACTAAAATCTGAAAGAACATATCCCTGCATATCAGTTTTGCAACCAGAATAGTGATGTGCCAAAAACCTAATTGAAATATGATATGCTTGACTCCTGACCTCATTGCTGATCACTGGGGCACATTCTTTTTTTCATTTGAGACTTTCTGATCTTGCTTCTTTCACTTGTATTTCTTTTCACTATATTCTTGTTTTCACTCTGCTTTTAATTAATATGTGGTGGACCAGGAGGATCAAGACACTGTTACCGTGCCATCTTCTGCTAAGATTATACCTCCTTATTTCAGTCTTTGGATACAAACGGACAATATTTTTGTATCCAGTAATGTTTCAATTTGTAGGTGAATATTTACAGATCAATGCACTCAGATGAGTTTAACCCATATTCACAAAGTTGGATAAGAAATAACTAATTGATGGCCTTTTCCTGTTCTTTCACCGAATTTGTTTGCTAATAATTAGTTAAACTAGTACAACAAACTAATAGCATAATCCTATGTCTTTTGCAAAGTAATTCCTACTATTGTCTGAGGAATTTACTCTCAGAATATTGTTCTTAGGGTTGTGCCTAAATAGTATGAATTAATTTAAATCTACAAAAAGTCTATTCTTAGTTTGAGGTAAGCTATAAATATGGTGAAACAGTTGAATAATAAGATTTTATGTAAAGGCACCTACTATTGATGAAGTCTGCTTTGGGAACTGCACAGTACCCATCAAGACTGATGTTGTCTATTTTGACTCTGAAACTCAGGATGAGACCTTTGTCAACACTGCTACTTTGTCTTGTTAATTGGAGATGCCAAGGACCTCTGCTGTCAATAATCCACTAAAAATTCTTGACTTCTTGGATTTCTTTGAAACTGAAATGAATTTGTGCTCTGCCTGTTACTCTGTTCACAATAACCACTTGGCTAGAACAACTCAAGAAAGAGACATATTATGGTAATTTGTTCAGCCATTAAAAGAATGATATGAAATTAATTGCAGAAGCTTCTGATTCAATATTACTAAAATATAAATGATTGTGCATCATATACATGCACCTACTCACCTTTACCAATAATCATAATTAAAATGTCTTTATAGACAGTGTATGCCTTGATACACAGAAACATAAACCAAAATATAATTTCCTGGTTTCCATTTCCACCATTGTGGCATGACATTATGGTTAAAAAGAAAAATGTAAGGGAAGCCATAGAATAGGTTATATGAACAGATTGCTGCAGACTGTGGAATTATGGACACAAGACAAGTGAGAACAGCATTTCCTCTATAATATAGATGGGTTTTTTTGTCTTTGTAAGGTTGAAGATTTGTGCATGTTGAAGGACAAATTCAAAAAGGAAAAAGACGTGGAAATGTGCCTTATAGTGTTATGCATTTGGAAGAGATTTAAGATTTTATATATGCAGATCAAGCATTCCTTGACAATACATATCTTTATCTATATTGCATAAACAAACTGCTGGACTAGGACCTTGGTCTTAAATATATTGATCAAGTATTTATCTTAATTACGATAAGACCCATGTCTGGTGTTCCAAGTGCTACTTGGCTTTAGATAAATTATTTTATCTGAATTAGCCAATATTGGAAGTCAAGGGTGATTGTTTAATTTTGTTTAATGAATCAACAATCTGCACAGAAATGTATACAGAGGATTCTTTGCAATACAATCTAAGATTATATGGTACCAATATTTTAATCCTCTTGAGATCTTTCTGTTCATTTTCCAATTGCAACTTGCTGTATTTTTCTCTAACATTAAAACTGTTCCTTTCTTCGTTTTTATTTTTCTTTCATTTCCCAAATATTTATCTGCAATTTTAAAATATTAGCTTTCCTTTCTTCCTTATTTGCTTCCTTCCCTAAAATAACTCAGAATACTGCATTAAAGTAGATCAATAACTCCACTTAATCCATATTCTTGAATCTGCCCCTTAAATATATTACCACTAGCAAACTAGTGTAGAGTAATATTATAGTCTTGTATCTTTCTGCCAAATGATAAACAAAGGAAATAATCAGAATAATTTCCCAGTTCTGGCCATAATGTTATTCTGTTTCAGTGGCTTATCCTCCCAAGGGTGGTTATTCTGCTTCTATGTATCTTCTATTATTCTATTATTCCATGTTTCTGATGTTCTTCTTCTCAAGATCTTCCCTAGAAAATTCCTCAGCTTTAAGTATGGTGAATAGCTCTTATCATATCTGTCAGAATTGAATTATGAATTGAACTGATAGGGTGGGATCCTGTGAATATGCATATGGAAATTTTAATGCAGACACAGGGGTCTGATCTTATTTATTTAAAAAAGGTGTAATGTGTTAGCGTGAATTGCTTTTTATTGAAATCTATGTTTTCTGAAGTAGATTAATGAATGCTTTGAGGCCTGGAAGTGTGACTGAGGCAGGGTATGCCGAAAAAGTGAAGACAGCAGTCATGATCTTATAACCAAAGCCCCACTCCTTTCTTGTGTGTGATATGAAGAAATATACAAAAGGATTATGACCACTGCCTTGATTTTTTTTAACCCTGTCTCCCATCCCCCACTGCCCTTTGGCCGACCAAGTTATTGAGAATTACAATTCTGACATGATTTTGAACCATTCATAACATAGCATGAGGAAGTCTGCAAATGAAGTAGTTTTAACTTGTTGAACGTATTTGTTCAAATCAATATATATATTCTATATAAAGGTGTCTTGTATAATAATCTCTCTCCTAAAGAAGAATATTACACTTACAATTATTAAATACTCTTTTCAAAATAACCACCTACAACATTTATTTAAGAAGACATACAGTAGTGGATTTGTATACTGTGTCACTTCAATGTTTACTTTTAAAAAGCGTTTTCTGGAAACTCTACTATGCCCCCCTATATATTGCTATGGCACTGGGAAAGCATGTTCTCTTTCTGAGTTGGAGAGAGGTTTAGAATGCTTCTCATATTTTACTTCACAGGGAATAGTTCCCAAAGGGGATTGGTAATAGAATACAGTGCCTCTCGCCTCTTGGTCAAATATGGCCTAGGACAGGAATGACTGAAAGCCCTGGCCAGCTGCTGAGTAGTGTGAGTGACTTCAATGAATGGTATCTGTTCCTACTGTTTAAATAAACCAATTACTATCATTCCTAACCACAACTCCAATAAGCACTAACTGTCATTCTTATTAAAAGGCACAGAAGTCTCAAGGGAAAATAGAAATCATGACTTACGGTTTTGTAGAATATTCTCAAACTAGTCTGAACTCTCAAGGAATTGCCATGCTTTGTCTTATTTTTGAAGTACCTGTGTTTTGGGGCAATTTCATTAGAAAAAAAAAAACACATTGAGAAGCCAGCAAATAAGAGAAGAAACACAAAACTTTGTAGAGTTGTGGAAATTATTAAACCTCATGGAATTTTGCCACTGTTGTTCTGTACATAATAATTTTCGTGCTCCAAATCATAATTAAGCCTCAAGTGTTAAATCCAGAAATATATATTTCATCCTACTCTTCCAAAAACTGGTGTGACATAAGGATAACCTGTGGAATGGGAGTTGGATATTATGCTGAATGATAAGAATGAATGTTGTGAAAGAACATTTATAGCACAAAGCAGTGGGTGTTTTACCTACCAGAGCTCCTTCTTCAGTATCCTCTCTTTCCTATTTCCCAAATTTATTACCAATTTGGTAATAGACCACCAATTGGCAGAATGGCCTATGGAA